CACCCTAGTCATACCTCCTCTAAGATAGACTTGTTTGTTCTTTTGGTAGCCCATCGGATATTCAGAATTAGTAGTATGTTCATATAATGAAATACTTTAGCTCAAAGAACTACATTACATTATATGCAACAAGAAAGATGAATCTCACAAATAATTATATTGAACAAAAGAAAATATACAGTATTATTCCAATAATACAAAGATCAAAGATAGACATAACTAGAACACATTGTTTAGGGATGTACACATAACGTTAAAACTACAGGAAGGTGGAAAAAGCTAGAAGTGATTTCTAGGATAAAGAGAGTCTACTGCTGTGATTACCCAAGTATCTGCTTTAGACATTACACTTGGTACAAATGTTTTATATACCTCACTGGATGGTCTATTTCACTATCTTAAAAAAAAGGTTGAAAAGCCAGTAAAAGATATAAGTGGATGGATGACTAGCAATATTTGACACTTAATTTTCAAAATATCTGGATTTATTTAAAGTAGATGGGATGCTTAGTTGCAAATCATTAGAATCAGTACAACAGTTTGATGTTCATTTTGCCTAGAACCTAAATGTTAGACACCAATTCTTTTTGTGTCATATTTAGAATTCACATTAAGAACTGTCAATTCACATGAAGCTTTCCTATAGTCTATTTTCCATCCCTTCTCTCTCCCACTTTGTCATTTTCCATTACCTTAGCATTTATATACCTTTCCCCTCTGTCTCTCAGAACCTAGAACATAGTTATGCATGTGTCACATTGGAGTGTAATGGTTTGCTAATTTTCTGATTCCACTCTCAAACTCCCAACTACCTTCATGTCTTTAAACAAAAATGATCTCAAATGTCAAGATTATTTTCTTTGTTCTCTTTCTACATGCAGCAGTTGACATATAAAAGGCATTCAATAAATTCTAGGTGATCAAATAAAATGAAAATATATGTTCATAATCTCAACTATATTAACAATTTTTACGTCAGAAACGTGAGGAATTTGATGAAAAACAGCGCATAGTAAGTGTTCAATAAATGGCACTACTAGAAAAAAGCTTTGCAAGGAAAGAACTCAAACTCACTGCTGTGGAGTTGGTTCTGACTCCATCGAGTTTCTGAGGCTCTAAAATATAATGGGAAGAAAATATTCTATTCATCTTTTCTCCTGAGAAGCTACTCAAATTGCTTGAAATGTGCAGCCTTTGGGTTAGCAGCACAACTCCCTACAGAGGACACCACTAAAGTTACTTTTGCAAGGGAAATAAAGGGTGGACAATCTCTTCCCATGTGATTTACTGTTTCCGAAACTTGCTGGAAGGCCAATTATGAGTCAGTTCCAAGTCAATGGCATACAGGAACAACATCCATCATGTTTGCACTGGCAGCACATATAGTAAAACTGGAACTATAGAGAGATTAGCAAAGCTCCTGCACAAGGATGACAGGCAAATTCGTGAAGCATTTCATATTTATAAAGCCCAAAAGGCAAGAAAGGGTAGGACAGCAGAATTTATGAAGATGAGTATGTTACTGTTGTCATTATGTGCCATCGAGTCGCTTGTGACTCATAGTGACCCAATGTACAACAGCCCTAAACTCTGCTCTATCTTGTGCCAATCACACTGTCTCTGATACACCCATCCCAATTACCCCAGTCACCGAATCAATCCACTTCATAGAGGGCCTTCCCCTCCTGTGCTGTCACTCCACCCTATCAAGCATGATGTCCCTCTCCAAGGACCTGTCCCTCCTTACACCATATCCAGAGATGAGTATACACTATATCCAGAGATGAGTATAGAGAAGTAAAAAAAAAGTAATTACATTGTGGGTATTGTAATTAATGTTACAAAACAAAATGTGTATGAATGGTGAGGATGGCACAGTGAAAGGTAAGTTTTCAAGCTGTCCTACATGGGAATGTTTGCTGAGTCAGAATTGACTTGATGGCAATTAATAACTCTTCCCTAAAAGACCCTTAGTGGTACAGTGGTAAATGAACTGGCTGCTATTCAAAAGCCTACAAGTTTGAATTCACTACCCACTCAGTGAAATAAGGTAACCTGCTTCCACGAAGACTTACTATCTTGGAAAATGTATGAGCAATTGTACCCTGTTCTACAGGGTTACTGTAAGCAGGAAGGTAATGAGTACATTCTTTCCTAGAGTATTCCAATTTTTGGTCATATAGAACATATTGTTCTAACATGCAATACCTTATTGTTTTTTTTTTATTTTGTTAGATTTATATAATATAAAGTACACACAAAATAAAAATTAGCAACAGCTCAATGAGTTACCACAACAGAAATATCCAGGAAACTCTCCCTGAGTCTAGAAACAGAAAACTATTGTTGCTGTGTGTCTCTGAGCCCATTTCAACTCAGTGACCTACAGAAGAGCGCAGAACTGTGCCATAGGGTTTCTAAGGCAGCAAATCTTTACATGTGCAGATCATCAGATGTTTTCCACTAAGGCACTGTTGGTAGGTTTGAACTGTTTATCTTGTGATTACAACTGAGTCTTCAACCACTGTAGCACTAGGACTCCTGCAGAAAATTACCTGTATCTAGAAATTCCCCTCATATTCCTTTTTATCCACACTACTTACTCCATTTTCACTCAAATGTAACCACCGTCTTAACAATTATGGCACTTGTTTTTTTTTTTAAATGCTTTCAGGCAAGCTCTGGTGGCCTAGCGGCAAGAAGCTGCACTGCAATCTCAGAGGTATATGGTTCAAATCCACCAGATGTTCTGCTGGAGAAGGAAGAACAATCTCCTCCTGTATCAGTCAGATCTGATTTGACAGTACACACACAAAATAATGAAATAAAATAAAATTTTAAAAAATGCTTTTACCACCTACATATGTAATCCTAAATTCACTCTTTTTCATTGCCTTCAAGTCAGTTCTAACTCATAGCTGACACTGCAACAGGTTTCGAAGGCTGTAAAACCCATGGGAGAAAACGGTCTCTCTTTCTCCAGTGGACAGCTTGTTGTTGTATACTATCAAGTGGGAAATGATTCATAGCTAACCCTCCAATGGGTTTTCAGAGGCTGTAAATCACACAGGAGGAGAATCATCTTTCTTCCATGGAGTAGCTGATGGATTTGAACTGTTCACCTTTGAGTTGGTAGTGCAATTCCTCACCACTAAGCCACTAGAGCTAGTGAAGCAGCTAGTGGACTGGAATTGCCAGAACAGCTCAGTCTTGGGTTACACTCATTTAAATAAAAGTTGGCAACTCATTTTTATCCATTTTGCTGTGGTGGATGTTTGGAATACTTTAGAAAAGTCAGCAGGAAGTAAATCCTTCCTATTCGAAATGAAAACAAACCAAATAGATTTCTCTCTTGTTATGTTTTACAGTCTTTCTTAGACACAGTATAAACATGTAAAAAAATATTCATACCTTATCTTTAGTTCATCTCTTATATTCCGTTTTAGTTTACATTTATTTGTGTTTATAAAACCAGAACCTCACCAACTTTCTCAGTAAGAAGGAAAATACACATCTGGGAAAGATTTTCAAATAGATCTGTAACTTGGTCAAATAAATACAGAAACGTCTCTAACAGTTAACAATACAAATAGTGAGTCTTTTAAGTCCTGCTCAAGCTGGCAATTTGACATGGAAAAAAAATTAAGAAGGGAAAATAGTGAAGAAATAAAAAGCTAAGTATAATAAACAAGCATATTTAAAAATTAAACAAATTATATAAAAAAAACAGAGCTACTGCTAGCTAATTCATTTCTAGCTAAAGACAATCAGCAAAGCCAAATTTAGTATTTTTTAATATAAACCAAAATTTTTATTTTTCATGTTTTAAAAATTAATGACAGTAATAAAATTACCTTTATTTACTAGAGACGTTCTTGGAAAGGGAGATAACTTTTAAAATATCATACTAAAAAAATCACTTATATAGGCAGCCCCCAAATACTGAAGGAGATTGGTTCCTAATGGTTTAATTTGTAGCCAAGTCAAAACAGTTGCATATGATTCTTTTTAGCTTTACTTGAGTATAAAGTGAGGCTCTGGGTATTGTGCTACTAACTCAAGAGTCATTCAGTCAAATCTTTTCTGTGTGCCTGAGGGAGGAATAGAGGTAGTTTCCTCCCATCATGGTTCATAGCCTCAGAAACCCTGAGGAGGGCCACTGTGAGTCTGAACTAATGATAGTGAGTTTGCTCAGTGTGAAGAGATCTGGTGGAGTCTACCAGCAGCTGCTCCATGGGAGAAAGATAAGCAGGCTTCTCCTGTAAAGATTTATCTATAGCCTCAGAAATCCAAAGGTGGATGACTAAGTCTGAACCGTGGGGTTTTTTTAGTGCAAGAAATGGTTTGAAGTCTTTTACTTAAAAGTTGTATGTGCAGCAAATGAAGGTGACTGTGATGAAGAATTTGTTGCTATTAAGTGTTGGTTCAATCATTTCAAAACAAGGACAAATGTATGGAGCTTGGAATTGGTTTGATCACCTGCTGAGAATTTGCATTTCCACCATAGATTTGTAAAACTAAATAAAACCCAATCCATTGCTGCGAGTTGATTGCCATTCAGTTGATTCTACCTCAGATATGAGTCAAAATCTACATTTTTAACAAATCTGCAGGTGATTGTTATGTATTCGTAAGCAGTTGTATGAATATTGTAAGAACTACCTGGGAATCTATTAAAAAACCTGCAAACTGACTACCATCCATTCAGAATCAAGTCATAGCTGACCTTTCTGTAGGTTTCTGGAGGCTGTAAATCACACAGGAGGAAACTGCCCAGTTTTCTCCCTCAGAGTGGCTGATGGATTATACCTCAAGTAATTATGCTTCTGGATTTTATTCTCCATCACTAAGTTACTCCCTCAAATTCCTCCATTCCCAGACAGCTGGAGTCTAACTCTAAATGTAATACAGTATTAATTAAAAAAATGTTTCAGAGTACCTCCTAAAAATATTCTAGTATTTAAGAGTTTGAGATAGTTAAGCAAACCCAACTATAATACCTCTTTATCTTTTAGTCCCAGTAGCAATACTTCTTCCATGAGGGTGAGGCGGATATCCTTTGAGTCTCCAGAGTCTTCACTGTCTGTATTCCTCTCTTGACTAGCATCTTCTTCACTTTCCATTTTCTTTTCAGCATTCTTGCCTACTTCAGTGCGTCGGGTTCGGTGTGTTAAAGTGGTCATTCTCACCTGTTTGTGCAAGGGGTGGGAAAAGAATGTCTATATGTGTGTCTATATAGACAATTATAATATATTCATACATGCCCTCCAAAAATGTATTGCTCTTTCTTCTCTCTCATTGTCAGTCTGAACTGATCCATAGCTGACTCTCCAGCAGCTTTTTGGAGGATATCAATTATACGAGAGGAGACTATCTTTCTCCCATTGAGCAGCTGGTTGAGTCAAACCACCTGCATTTGCGTTGGCATCACAACTCTATACCTACTAGAACTCAAAAAAAGTATAAAATATTTAATAGTGCCAATAGAAGGGGGAAAAAAGAGTAACATAATTTTGAAAGTACAATAGCTTATACTCCATAGATAACACTGTCAAGATCAAGTTAGGAATTCCAAAATCTAACAGAAATGATAATTTTTTTTTTAGAAATGATCGTTTTGAAGTCTATTTCTTATGTATTATCTAAAAACCAGGAGTGACTGCCCACCATTCTTTTTCACAAAATTGATCTCTACGTTAAATAAGATGGGACAGCAAAAAATTGTGAGCTTCCAGTCCCAAAATGTGTGCAACACTTTATCTTTATTGAAATGATACTGTATCATAAAACACCCAAAATTATTTGATACTCTATTATATAATATACAAAAATAGAAACTAAAAAATTGGAAAAATAGGCATATACTTTGTAATACTTCTCGTATCTTGATGACTCATCTCACGTACCTACTAAGGAGAGACAACAGCACGGTTAATGTGTTGTAATTCCATATAGTTAGTAAACTTTAAATCTCTAGACCTAATCACCCTGGAAAATATTTTACATCTCAAGACCTAGTCATCTTGAAAACACACACAGAATTGTGATCAAAATGTACTGACAACAAAGTGTCAAAAGATTAGCAAACCCTTTCCCAACTATAAAAAGTACTGAAGCGCATGCTCTTTTAAAGATAATGTGCAGTTTTTTCTAACCTAATGTAATTTATGAAATAATCAGTGATAAAGTTAGCATACTTGAGATATATCTAAATACTTACTTTCCTCTCCCCTTTCTTTTTGTGTACCATCAAATCAGATCCCACTGGCACAGGAGGAGATTGTTCCTCCTTCTCCAGCAGAGCATCTGGTGGATTCAAATCACATACCTTCAGGAATGCAGTGCAGCTTCTTGCCACTAGAGCTCCCTTGAGATATATCTAAATATGCTTTATGGGTTATATGTAATAAATAATTTTAATTAACAATTATTTAAAAGGATATATTTTCCAAGGTTGGAAAACTGGCATTCAAAAACATGTGTGACTGGACTCCAATCTACTTTATAGCAATATTTGCCATAACTTCCAGTTATGCACTGTTGTCAAATCATGTGCCAAATATATTCTGACTCTGCTTCTTTGTTCATAATAGGATTCTGCCCCTTTCCCTTCTTTAAATTCTATTCACTCGTGAAAGGTCCACTGAAAACTCACTATGACATCTTAAGTAAATATCCTCCATTGCCCCTATGCCTCAGGGTCAGAATTGGGTCTTTCCCTGGGCTGTACTTGCATCGAACTTTATACTTCCTTCCTTTAAAATACTGTTTTTCTTTTGGTTTGGCTGGCTGTCCATTGAAAACTTTGAAGAGTGGGATGACACTCTCCATAGCAACTAGTACAATGTTTTCATATTGCAACCATTCAAGAAATATATACTGTTTCAATACTTAGAAATGCATGTTAACATTTAAAATAATAATAGAACTGAAATTACTTAGGAAAGATACTTGTCCAAGAATATTCTTCAAACAGAATTTTTGGAAATCAGGAAGAGTGAAGACAGACTGAAGGAGGAAGAAAGCAATGAAATAAATGCTTAAGGGCACTAAACCTATTTGGCACGGTGAATAGAACATATTTCTTAATCCAACCCAAGAAACTTTACACCTTCGGGGGGGAAAAACCAGGAATTTTCCTTGAAGAATTAATCTTCTCCAGATATTTACTAGTTAGAAAGTACAACTTTTAAAAGCGAATGACAAAATTTAAAAAACCCAACAAACTCCCTTTCCCTTTGAAAGAAAAATTTAATTTTTATTATTTTGGACGTTAGAAATTATATTTTCCCCGGTGCTTACCTGATATTACTCCTGGGTTACAGTTGGACGCGGACTGCTTGTGCTATTATTTCACAGGGAACACCTGTCCCCACCCCACCCCACCCCGGTTTTAGTGGGTGAAAAACTTCCCAGCCACGTAGAGAGAACAAACTTCCTGATCGCTCGATGAAGAGAAGGAATAACACATCAGCTTCCTCAGGATCACTAGGCAACCTACCTTGGTGTTTTTTTCATTGGACCAATCAGAAACCAACAGGGCTGAGTACAGCCAATCAGAGTTTACGAGGGGTGGCTCTGCCTCAGCTATTGTGTTGCGATCCAGACAAACACCACCAAACGAAGGCAGGTTTGGGTTCAACCTGACAGCTGGTCAATCCAATGAAGGAACCTTAGTTGAAGAGAGGCATGAGGGCTGCACTCCCCACCCCCATAAGGCCGGCCAATCAAAGCGCCCCGTGAGCTAGCACGGGCTATCAATCTACAAAGGCTTCTGTGGGTCAACCTCTGTGTTAGCAGGTGTTACTATAACAATGTACCATTGGGGCAATTAAGGTGAGATGTGTAAGGCCCAAGCATAATGTAAAAAATGAATAAAGTTAAATTTTAATACTGTTTCTGACAGTAAGCATATCTCTTATTGCCTGTTCCACAAAAACCCGATTGGTCAGTTTGTAGACACTTATTTAGTTTACATTAATTGGGTACATTTCTTCTATAGAATAGACACCTACACTCATGGTAACGCTATGGCAAAGCCATAGGCAGTGTATAGTTTTAGAATACAGCTGCTGCTGCTAATGCAGTAGGCAGACCAAGTGTACCTAATTTGTCTAAAGCAAAGGAAATGAATACAACTAGAATAAGGCCTCATTTCCCACTTAAAAGCACAGTATTTCATATTACCAATCAAAAGTTCTTAGAAATGGGCACAACTCTTGCAAAGTAATAGGTACTTAAGTCATCTTAGAGTTATTTCATATCTAAATATTTTCTTCTAATGAAATAGGAATCGTTGTTTAGTCTAGTGGGAACTAGACAAAGTAATTTCTGAACCTCCAGCGGGTTTTCAAAAGCAGTCAATCACACAGAAGACTGTCAATCTTTGTTCTGTGGAGCAGCTTACTGGATTCAAACCTACTGGCAATGCAATTTGTTACAGTAAGTTACCAGAGCTCCCTAAATAGAAGATATGAAGGTCTATATGATAAGCAAAGTTTTCTTTACACTGTTAAAGCTACATTTTATAAATTAGTCATTTTTAATGACATTAAAATATCAAAATAATGAGATACCATCTCACCCCAGCAACAACAGTGAAGTTCAACAGGGCAGCAACAACAAATGCTGGTGAGGATATAGAAAGATTGGAACTCTTTATGTACTACTGATGAGAATGTAAAATGATATAACCCCTATGGAAAGTGATCTGGTGCTTTCTCAAAAAAATTGAAAATAGAAATACCATTTGACTCAGCTATCCCACTATTACACATACACCCTAAATAAACCAGACCATAACACAAAAAGATGTACACCATGTTTATTGTTGCATTTTCACAATAGCAAAGAGATGGAAGCAGCTCAATTTCCTTTCAACAAATGAATGAATAGAACTACTGCAGCACATAAACAGGATGGGATATTATGCAGCACTGAAAAATAATAATAAAAAAATGAACTGGTAAAATGCTACACCATATGGGTAAGTCTAGAACACATTATGCTGAGTGAAATAGATGAGTCACAAAAGGAAAAATATTGCATAACATCATTGCTATAAAACAGGATTGACACAGAAGGTAAGGGGAAGAACAGGACTTCATGAAGAAGACTGCAGCATCAGGATTGGAGGAAAATCTCATTAACAACCTGCTTTATATGGGAAAAGAGTGGATAAATAATGACACTGAAAGATGAAGGAAAGGACTCTGAAAGCAATATATGATTAGACCTAGTACAAGAGTGAAGTCAATGACCTGCCACTGAACCATCATAGAGTAGAATTGGAGTTGGACAGTAACTGGCTGTGCCACTCTGCAGGTCCATGACAGTAGACAAACACTGCTTACATTGGTGCCACTTCTGAGACAAAAGAGGACAAAAGACTTCACAAGAGAAGATGTCATCAGGAGGACATCCCACCCATGCTGCACAGGAACCAGCATCATAGGGGAATGAAGAGGAAGTGGTTGGATAGAGATATATGGAGGCCTGAGCCATCAAACCATCACTGGCTAGGGGAACAGGTGCGAGGTGCTGGAGGGGCAAAGAGAAGGAACTGAGCTGGATGCTGGCAAAGCTGGGATGGCAGTGGGATGAAAACACATGTGCCTAAGGGGGTGGTGGGTGGGATCAACGGATCCATTACCTGAATGAGGAAGGCCTCTCATCTGATCTTTTGAGCAAAATACTTGTTTGTCAAATATAGTTTTAGAGTTGAGCATCCAAATTAAGACAGACTAGGGAGAAGGATTGGCTATCTACTCCTGAAATAAATGAAGTCTCAGAAAACCCTTTGTACAGTAGAGCACATTTAGTGTAGACTAGCTGATATGGCACAAGAGGCAGAACCTTCTCACTGGAAATCACAGAGGAGGAGGAACAGATGCAAATACACACTACTGATTGCAATGTGGAATGTAGGAAAATTGGATATTGTTAAGGAATAAATAGAACACATAAATATTGACACACTAAACATTGGCAAAATGAAACAGGTTGGCATGGACATTTTGAGTCAGATAATCATCTACTACACTGGAGATGAGAAAGTGAGGAAAAAGTCGGCTAACCTAACAGTTAAAACGACCATTTCTATATTCATCTTCAAACACAGTGCTGTGACTGACAGGCATTATATATATGATAACAATCTGGAACAAGAAATGCATTACAAAGTGAACTGGGGGAGGGAGAAGGCAGGGGGAAGGGAAAGGGAAGAGAAGGAGGGGAAAGGAGGAAAAAGTGCAAAAATAAATGCGTGAAATCCAACCTTTCCGTAAACCTTTGTAAAAATCACAATAAAATTAAAAAAGTAAAACACCACTTTTTATTGGACATTATCCATTATGATGTTATATACTATTATTAGAGTTCTGAAGAATATATCTTTAATAACAAAATAACACAGTTAATAAAATGAAATAACTTTAACACATGTAAAAAATGAATCCATACCACATTTTAATAGCATAATAACATTATTTAGTTGAAAAAAATAGTTTATAGAGGTCCTTAAAAGTTCATATATGCTTAAAGAAAGTGTCAATTGAAATGGAAGACAGAGCAGTACTAAGTGCACAATGAACTTAATAAATTATAATAATATTTTTGGTCTTTAAATTTTTCTTGAGACAATAATAAGGTCTACAATACGATAGCTAAAAATATCATTTAGTGGATGTATAACTGTCTAAGACTACATATACATTTTCAGAAGTATGAAAAACACATAATAATAATAATAATAATAATAATAATAATAATAAAATAAATAATAATATTACTTCTCAGAAAAACTTTGCAAACATGCAGAGAAGAAAATAATTTTTATATATGTTCCTTTGGTTCACTAAACCGTCTTCGTTTTGGCACTGACTCTTGACTAGAAGAATCAAAATGATGGGGGACCTGTTAAAAAAAACACCACACCACCTTCTTAGATACTTTCCAGAATAACTTTTAGATTTTCTTTCAGATGTGAAGTTTCTTGTCAATATATATAGCAGAACTATTTCCTACTAAGATAAGAATGTGACTATTCTTTAAAAATAGGGTAAGATGTACTACTGACATATTAGCATCTGCCAATGGCTACTGAAGGATGTACTTACAATATAAAAGATCTTTATTACAGTTGTTAGGATAATGAAAAAGACAGATTTAATGTTATATCCTCATAATATTCAAATATTTTAAGAGTGTGAGATAGGAAAAAAGATTTTTAAATGAACTTCAAAATTGGGAAGAAATCCTTCTATTTTAGCACTATGTAAGATTTAAATAATATATTTTTAATTAATTAATTAATTAATTAATTTCTTTTAGAGCTCAGCTATACCTGTTAAGGGAACTCTGGTGGCTTAAGGGTAAGAGACTACTCTGCAATCCCAAATGCACACACTTCAAATACACCAGCTGTTCTGCAGGGAAAGGATGGGTCATTTCCTCCTGTGTGGTTCATTACCTCTGAAAACCCTCTTGGAGGGTCAGCTATGGGTTAGTACCAACTTGATGGCAAACAACAACAGTATCTGATGTTGTTGTTTTGATTCTCTTCGAGTTGAGCACAACTCATAGCTACCCTATGAACAAAAGGCCTGAAGCCTCTTTACAACTATCGACATTTATCAAAGCTCATAGAGTTTCTGGAGGCATGTTATTTAGGAAGTGGATGCCACTCCTGCTTCCAAACCTGTCACAGTATGTTATGTGCATTTAGTTGCCTATGACATATAGCAACCCTATGTACAGCAGCTCTGAACCCTTGTTTGTCCTGAGCCAGTCTCACTAATTCCGACACACCAAACCCCATTTCCCTAGTCACTGTCTCAATCCAGGGTTCTCCCTCTCTTGCACTGTCCGTCCACCCTTCTAAGCATGTTGTCTTTCTCCAAGGACCAATCTCTTCTGGCCACACGTCCAAAGTGAGAGGGAGCCTCAAAATCCCAGCCTCCAAGGAGAGACTTGGTTTCACCTTCTCCAAGATAGGCCTATTTGTTTTCTTGGCAGTCCATGGTATGTTCAAGACTCTTCTCCAGCACCACAACTCAAAGGCATCTATTCTTCTGTCATCCTTAGTCACTGTCCAATTCTCTGAAGCATAACAAGTAATGGCCTGGATTAGCCACACCTTTTATTTTTAATTAATTTTAATGAACATTTACAGAGACTTTGGATTTCCATTCATTTACTGTTGTTATTTTTCTTCCTGCCCACCCCTCCTCAGCTTGCTCTTCTCTTTGAAAAGTAAAATTCTTTCATTGATATATAATTCCCCCTCCCCCCAAGTACACTCCACTATGCAGCCTTCATTCTAGACTCTTGTCATGACCAAATACCCAATCATATATCACTTTTAAATAGTTCTCTCCCTCATCTGTTTCAATGCAGTATACATAATTTATCCAATCTTTCTCAGTCTCACCCCAACCCTGATGCCAGTCCCATTCCACAACAGTGACACTACGCAATATTTGTCCCTTTGAGACTGAGATATTTCACTCAGCATAATGTCCTCCAGGGTCACCCATTTTGAATAATATTGCATGAGTTCCTTGTTTTTCAATGCAGCATAATATTCTATTGTGTGAATATACCACAGCTTCTCTATCCATTTGTTTGTTGATGGACACTTGGGTTGTTTCCAACTCTTTGCTATTGTGAACAAAGCCACAATAAACATGGGTGTGCATATATCTGCCTGCGTGGCAGTTATGGTTTCTTTGGGGTATATTCCCAGTTGTGGAATTGCTGGATCAAATGGTATTTCTATTTGCAACTTTTTGAGAAAGCGCCATACAGCCTTCCATAGTGGTTGCACCATTTTACACTCCCACCAACTGTGAATAAGGGTTCCAGTTTCTCCACAACCTCGCCAGCATTTTATGTTTGCTGTTCTGTTAAATTTTGCTATTCTGACTGGGGTGAGATGATTATCTTGTTTTGATTTGCATCTCTCTTAGGCACCTTTGTATCTTGACTGACATCACTTCATCACTCTGAAGAGGTCTATGACAGATTTTTTTCAATGCAATTGTCTTTTGAAATTCCTGACTGCTGGTGTTAAGAGTGTTGACTACGGATCCGAGCAAGCTGTAATTGCCAACAACCTCTATGTCTTCTCCATCTAATATGGTGCGGCCAATTGGCCCAGTGGTGAGAATCTTGTCTTCTTGATGTTGAACTTCAATCCATTTTGAAGACTACAGTCATTGACCTTTTGCAGCAAGTGCTTCAGGTCTTCTTCAGTACCTGATATTAGAAATTCAATGTATGTTTCACAGTGAACGTGAGCCTGAACTTCCTGCTGTTATATGCCGTTGTGTTGACTATGACTCATGAGGACTCTATGAACAATGGCTCTGTACCTTGCCATATCTTGAGCCAACCTTAACCATCTCTGACACATCTGACCCCATTGCTACAGTCACCATGTCAATCCATCTTATCCTGAGCCTTCCTCTCCTGTGCTGACCCTCTATCCTTCCAAGAATGATGTCCTTCTCCAATGACTGGCAGGCCCCTCTTGACAACATGCTCAAAGTATGTGAGGCAGAGTTTAAAACTCCTTGTCTCAAAAAGAGAAACCTGGTTTTACCCTCTCTAGGACAGACCTGTTTATTCTCTTGATAGTGAATAGTATGTTAAATACTTTTCTCCACTCCCACAACTCAAAGGCATGCCATCCTTATTCACTGTCCAGTTTTCTGATGCATAGTAAGCAACTGTGAAGACCATGACCTGGATCAGACACCTTAGTGCCTAGACTGACACTGATGCTCTTTAGCACTCTGGAGAGGTCCTTGACAGCAGATTTTCCCCAATACAACTCATCTTTTTATTCCCTGACTGCTAGTGCCAGGGGAGTACACTTTTTTTGGGAATAGGAATAAATAGGGATCTCTTCTTGGCAAAATTTGGTGAGTACATCCAGGGCAGCATCTGTTTGCTGAAATATGTTAGTTGGTATACCATCAATTCCTGGGCCCTTGTTTTTTGCCAGTTCCTTCACAGAAGCTTGAACTTCCATCATCACCACTGCTTCTTGATCATATACTGTTTCATGAAATTCTTCTGTGTCCGCCAGTTCTTTTTGATAGTGACTCTGTGGATTCCTTTCATCTTCTTTGGATGCATCTTGGATCATTCAATATTCTACCAATAGCATCTTTAAGTATTGCAACTCAAGGCTTGAATTTATTCTTTAGTTCCTCCAACTTAAGAAATGCTGAGCGAGTTTGTCCCTTTTGGTTCTCTTGACTCCAGCTCTTTGCACATTTCATTATACTTTGTTTTGTCTTGCTGAGCTACCCTTTGAAGTCTTCTGTTCAGCTGCTTAGCTTCTTGATTTCTTCCCTTGGCTTTGGCTTCTTGGCACTCTAGTGCAATATTTAGACTTTCTTCTAACATCCATCTTGGTCTTTTCTTCATCCTCTGTCTTTGTAATGACTTTGTTTTTTTTAAAAAAATTATGG